CCTCATGAGAGCAATTAAAACCTGACGAATTAAGAACTTTAATCATAGGGCCTCTATGAGCCTTAGGGCCCAAAACCAACACCTCAGTTTTATTATTGTTTAACAATAAATAATTATCGGACATCCAGACCTTAATATCGGTGAGACAAGAATTTAGGATGTTTAGAGCCGATAGATCTGAAGGATCAATAGATAAATATCATCTGCATAAAAATGAAAAGAGACATTATATTTGCGAAAAATTTGACCCAGAGGCAGCATGTAAATAGAAAATAGCAGTGGGCCAAGAATGGAACCCTGAGGAACGCCACAAGTAAGTTTTACCACTTCAAAAGAACTGTTACCAATTGATACACAGGAACCTATTTAAACTAGTTCAGAGCAGTTCCACTAATACCCACAGAGTATTGCAGGCGGTTAATTAGTAGTTAGCTGTGTTTGATGTTCTGGATCAAGTTAAAACCCACAAAGTACCCTTGGTCCCTTCTTCCCCACCAGGTATGACCACATCTTGAAGTGGGAGCTGTTCCAGCTGGCAGACCTGGACACCTATCAGGGGATGCTGAAGCTGCTCTTCATGAAGGAGCTGGAGCACATCGTTAAATCCTACGAGGCGTACCGGCAGGCACTGCTGGCGGAGGTGGAGGCTCGCAAACAGCGGCAGCAGTGGTTCTCCCAGCAGCCCAACAACAACTTCCTGTGAGGCGTCGAGCTTTCCTCATCCAAATAACACGGACCTCTGCTCTCACCAAACACGTGTGCCTCGGCTCGGTCTAAAACCTGCCAGCTGATTCGAGGCGTGACGCAGGGCTGAGCTCTGTGAACGAAACCTTAACCTGAGAACTGAGAAGCTCCTGCTCTGTTTCAACCCATCAGATCAGGGATCCACCAGCTACACGACAGGCAGCTTCTTATTTAAACACTTTATTCTTTTTCAATTGTTCTCTTTGTAACATTTATAAACTGAAAACATACTCTTTTGCAGTAAATAAACATTTAAATTGTTCTTTTTGTACATGTTGTGTAATTATCTAGACAATCCAAATGTCTAAAGTTTGTTATTAAGTCTGTATTTAAAGAGCTCTCAGAAATCAGGAAGATGCTTGTTTTCTGTTCGATAATAAGCTAGTTTGTTTTTAAATAAATAGAAAACAAGTTACGTTTGCCAAATAAGTGCAATTAAATGTTTATTTTATTTTAT